TTGGAAAGACATCTAAATTTATCTTGAAAAAAGCTTGCAGAAAATACAGATTTTTGAGAATCACCCGTCAATCTTTTGGTTTACTTTGCTGGATATAGCAAATGATGACAAAATAAACATTTGAAACAAGATACATGGTCTATGCTTAATTTCATGAAGTGTGCGATTAATCACAGAAAAAGGGTGTGATTAATTAGATTTAAAAAATGTAATCGATTGACAGCCCTAATATATACTAATATATATATTAGGGGTGTCCCAGACTAAAGATTTTCATAGTTGAATCAGAAATCTTAGAATCTAGCCGATATTCGAATGATAGTTGAATCATATGTTTGGGGGCAGGGGCAAAATACATTAACATGAGTGGTTATGAACGAATGAAAGAAATGCATTTGTCCGTGTTTCACTCCATCTCGAATCGCGCTAGCAGAAAGTGCTTGAGAAACAGTGTGTCTTCTGTGGCTCGGTACGCTTTCAACTCGTTTTTTTAGTCTCGAGCAAGACTGTACGGCATTCACATGACATGATTTGACTGATTTTTACATAGAAAGGGTGACAGCGCACTGCATTAAAAGAAATTATCATTCATGTTTTCATAACCGCTAGCCAAATTCAAAAACAAAACTAAAATTAAATCATCTTTGAGAGCAAGGGGGCCCCTGGTGTTTCGGGGGCCCTACGCAGCTTGCTTATTTTGCGTATAGGGAGGATCGGCTCTGGTTGTTTGTCTTGCTTGCACTGCGCGCTGAAGAGATAATCAACGTAGTACTACAATGAAATGCTTTACTGCAGTGCAACTCAACCAAAAGCATCTTATACAAGATAAATAATATATACATGATACAGGGCTGTATGCAGTTATTTTTCAAGATAACAGATTCTTAAGTATGAGAATCAGATGAAATATTGCAATAAATGATCCACGCTACAAACTGGAAATAGAGAAGATATAGTTTGTTTATGTTTATGAATTTAATCAACTCAGTTATAATTTTCAGTTATAATATAATCTTGAAAGATTGTTAATAGCCTTTCTTGTTCTGTCTTATCTATCATATGCTGTTGCCTCAATACTGTGCTATAAATGTAAAATAAATTTATTTAATTCATTGCATATATTCATATAATTATATTTACTTGTTTTTCATGAATGTATTTTACAATACAAAGAGCAATGTGTAACATTTTACCAGATTACACCTACAGTATTTACTTTTAATTTTTTCCCCACTAAATAATGTTTTTTCTCTAAATGTTTAGATTTTATAAAATGATTGTGAACATCATTTTTTGAATGATGAATGATTGTGAATGATGAGTAATTTTTGTAGAGTAACTTTTGCTGCTGAATTATCCACTAACCTAGTTTATAATAGTATTTTTCTCAAAGATTATGATTATATTTAGTAGATTGTGTGTAATACACAAAAGATTGATGATCAGGTCAACACACACTGAGGTATAGAAATAAAATAAAAACTGCCAAAAAAAAAAATACAGATACCGAATACCAAACAAAACTTGGTATCGGATCGGTATCGGTATTGTCCGATACTCAGAACTTTTGGTATCGGATCGGTATCGGTTCTGAAAAAATGGTATCGTGCCACCCCTAATCATAACACCCCTGTGAATATTCGACTGTGAGATTTGTAGTCGAATGGGCTCCTCCTAACGAAGCATCGAATCGTTGACTAATCGGGGTCACCCCTAATATAAAATAGCTAATGACAAACAAGATACAGCAGAGAATGATCAAGACAATGAACCAATGACAAAACAGAACTGAGAAACACATGACAGGATCAACCAATGAAAACATGACACACACAGCAAAGCAGCCAATCAAATCAAGGCATGGGAGGGGAACAGGGAATCACGTGACTATTGCAAATTTCAAATAAAATACATGAAAACATGAACTCTGAAAACAAACATGGCAGCACTCCAGATTTGTGGAATATTTAGGACACGTTTTTGGATACTTGAATCCTTAAGTTAGCTTTAAAGGAGGAGGGTTAAAACAGCAATAACTGCATTACCAGCTTCACACATTACTAACCAAACTGACTTTATTTCTGACATACAAAAGTTCTTATTGAGAATTAACAGAGGTTTAGATGTTGATGTTTGGTTGAAAGTAACAGGTTGGTTTGAAGTGTTGACTTTAAGATAAAATATGCATGTTATATATAATTAATACGCATCTGAACGTTCATCTTCTGTAGCTCCAGATTCAACACTGATTCCAGTCCACAGCTCAAACTCTGAGACAACATCGAGCCGAACTACAGCAGCAGCTCCTACTCAAGCTTCAACATCTCTCTCACACATCAGCAGTCTCTCAGGATTCACTGTTTAACACTTCTTGCCACAACTGATCCGACCACAAGAAGATCAGCCTGCTAATTCCATGAGTTCAGTGCTGAAACCTCAAATGATTCGTAAAATATTTGTGCATGTGAAATGTTTTCATACAAGGCTGTACATTTTAGATGCTGTCAGTACAAAAATATTGTACATTTCAGTGTTTATGCA